GGCTGCTTTCTTTGCTTCTTCCTCGATGATCAACTTCCTATCTTGGGGTCCTAACATCTTCCACAATTCTGAGTCGATCCCCTCCGGACGCTTTGAACCTTTATAGTTACGTACAATCCGGTGACCATCCCAATGATGTCCATCTGGAATTATTTCACCTTTAGGGGTCAATTTGAGATCTGGAAATACGGGCGCTTCAGGTGCATCAGGCTCGACATCGCTGTCGGCTGGTAGAGGCGTACCTGGCTCGTATTCATACTCATCTTGCGGTGGATGCAAACTGGACTCCAGAGGCACAGCTTTGGGTGTCTGCGGAATGACCTGGTCCTCGAGGCGATCGGCTTTGGGTGCTTTCGAGTCGATCAGAGCTTTCAAAGGAAAGATGAAACCCTCGGATGGCAATTCCAACCTCTTTGTTCTTTGGATTGTCAGTGCACCCCAGTTGACATGATAATCTGCGGCTTCCAACTTGGCAACTAAGTATTCACCCTTCCAATCATGACCTGGTTGGATGTAATACCCAAGGAAAATTCCTTCATTTGCTGTTGGGGAGAGCTTACCTGATGTGTTATCCAACCTCTTGGGGTTATTCCAGAACAACACTTTGGCACCAAATGGAATGTGCATTGCAGGGAACTCTTCACCAAACCTGAGTTGCCATGGGGAATCACTGCCGTCAAGCTGGGGGCTTGCATTGATCGCGGTCGCATGATGCTGCATGGCCAATGGCCACATCTTCAAAGGAAGTCCTGATTGCAACAAGTTGCTCCGGGCACCTTCCAACATCTGACGAACTTCGCGCTCAGCAAAAGACTTTGATGAATCTACGTATTCAATGGAAGTTTGGTGTCTGTAACCCAAATCCTTGATGGCCCTGATCAATTCTGGGGAATTGTCGGTGTACACAACTTGAACATCATCCTTTGATCCAATGAAGTGATTCAAACCATCAACACAGCTTTGTGAGTCCTTGGACTGGCTAGGGTAGACATACCGATATTGGGTGTGCAGATCTTTCAACACCAACGCAACTTGCTCCCCCCTGAAACCCTCTTCTACATTTTTCTTGATGATGACATGATCCCCAATGATGTGGTCACCAAACACTTCAGTTTCGATTCTCTTCTGACCACCCTTCTTTCGTGCCTGAGGTGCCATCATCCTTGCTCGTTGGCAAGTTCTGCAAAAGGGGTTCTTGGGGAAATGCGTGTACTGATGTTGGGTACTTGCAGCTTCAGCCAACAGATCCTCAGTCTTGCGGCTTCGGATGTACTCCTGCTGAGCGTCATCCTCCACCAACTCATCCAACTGCTCTTCATCTTGGGCTTCGTCCCGCTTGGCTTTTGAGCTCGACCGTGAGGTCGGCATTGCAAACAACTTTTTGAGGTGCTTATCCTTTTGAAATTGATCTTTGGGATAAACCTTGCAACTATCATCCAAGATTGGGACATGACCTTCGATCTTGAGCTGGACGACCTTGTCATCTGGACGGACTAGGATTGGTTTGCCATTGGCAGGCCATACGAAACTGTAACCCTGATCTACACATCTCGTTCCTACGGAGAGCACAGCTGGGGTATGATCAAGTACATACGGATGCACGGGATCTGGCAATGCGGACAACTTGACATCAGCAACCTCGTTTGCCTCGGTCGAACCATTGGCTGTGACTAAGGAAATCGGATGCTCGGCTGCACGGCAGTTCTTGGCACTAACATCCCTCAGCATTCCTTTGGACACAAGATCGGATTCACTACCTGAGTCGACAAGCCAACTAACACCGGCCTTTGGCGCGGCTGTGGCAATTGACGGGAATCGACCAATGTCTCTAAGGGCTTTGGGACCGCTAATGAACCTGCACTCTTTGCATGTGATTTCACGTGTGTCCTCATTCCAACAACAAAACCCACAACTAGGTGCAACATCTGAATCATGAAGTTTCACAGTTTCTTGAAGCTGTCTTGCACGAACCTGAGCCTCATGTTGTTCAACCTTGGATGAAACCGGAACATCTTCAGCTGTCTTGTACACCTTAGTGAACTCTCTTGGACGGTGCTTGACTGGGACTTGACGACCAACTGCTTTCACCTCGATCACATGTGGGGCCTTTCGGAATCTGAGGCGCTTCATGCTGACACTTGACTCATCGGAGCACGAAGTTGCCTTCGGCTGTTTTCGCACGATGCATGCAAACTTCTGGATCAGGCATGGAGCGGCCGTGGAATCCTTGCTCTTCTTTTTGGGAGCGGGTGAATTGGCCCTTTTGGTGTCTTTGGTGGCGGCAGCAGCTTTGTCATCATGCTTATAAAAACATTTGTCACCACGTCTGCACTTTCCCTGGGCATGATAGATACATGGGGTTTTAGCCATTTCTTCCTTGGACATTTTCTTCCCCTTATCATCTTTGTTGCCCCTTGATGGTGAACGTGTTTTGGTTCTTCTGGGTGATTGAGTTCGAGATTTGTCATCCTTGACGTGCTTAAATGGACATTTCTTCCCCTTATCACAGGTACCCTTTTGGAACTTATAGCAAATCTTGTCACCTTGCCACCTCGTTCCTGCGATCTACCACGACTTGGGGAGCCCTTTCGGCCACCGCGACCATCGCCTTTGGCGGGTGCGGCCTTCGTGTCCTTGATCACAGCCTTGTTCTTCTCCGCGATGCGGTTCCTGTTCTCCCTCAATCGTTCGCGATCGATCAAGTTCTTCATGGATTGGTGAAGAAAACTATAAGACTTTTCATGGGATTTCTCATGAGCACGGTCAAACATCTCAATGTCATACTTCAGCAACTGACTTGGTCGAATCTGCCTCAACAAGATGTCCCTTAATACAGCATCATCGGGGGTGACAGCCATGCCAGCTAGGGTAGCATCCCATTTGTTGATGAATCTTCGGAGATCCTGGACAGTATCGCCTACTTTGACAACACCCAAAAGATCTTCTACTCTGTAAAGGCTACCTGCTTCTTCTGATGTCTTGAAGTAGTCCTCAAACATAAGCAGAACATATCTTCCCCTGACCTGGATGCCTTTTCGGGATTGCTGCTCCTTGAAATTCAAGATCCTAGTTGCGAGGTCCCCTCCGGCTGAGCGCGTGAGCGCTGCTGATAACTTTGTATCCAGCGTAAGGAACTTTCCAGGATCTTGGAGTTTCTTCTCCAACTGCTCTCTGGTGCACTCTTGATCGTACACCTCGTTGAGCCAGAGCCACGCCTCATCCGGGCGATCTGAACAGCTCTTCACTTCATCCCTGACATGATTCTTCCAAGTTCTATATGACTCCGGAGCGGGCATGTTGTTCAGCTTGATGAGTTCAGCCTCCTTAGTTTTTGGCTTATCCTTTTCTTCCCTTTGGGTTAAGGCTTTCACCAATTCAATAAGATCTGAGGGACCCATTACTTGCTGTTGCTTGGTTGTGCTCTTGGGAGATTCATTTGGGGGAGTTTTAATAGCTTCAGTGGGAGTGAAAAACCCTGACTGCGTTGGCAATTGGGGCTGGTCGTTGCCGACAGCCGGCTTTTGCTTGGGACTGCCACCTTTGAGCAGTTCATCCAACTTGGCCTTTGCTTCCTGCGCCAACACTGCAGGAGTCTTAAACTCAAGAATCGGCTCATCACTGCCTCTGGCAGCCTGTGCATCGGATGCTTTGGGAGTGGCAATATTGAAGTGGGGCACGCTAGTGGTAGCGGCCGGCTCGGCGTTCTGGACGGATGCTTTCGGAACGGAGGCATGCTGCGCTTTGGCAACATGCTTTAACTGCTCCTGAAGATCATCGATTTGGTCCTGAAGGCTAAGGTTCTGAGCCGCTGCCTCGTTGATCTTGTCGGCCATCTCCTTCTTGTAGTTCTCAAACTCAGTCCTCAAACTGATGAACCTGGCCTGATCAATTGCAGCCTGATCTTCATATTGCTTCTTTGTGGCAGCTATGGCATTCTTTGCATGTTCAACTGTCTGTGCATAGGAAGCTTCGAATTCACTAGTGATACGTTTTCTTTCCTCTGCAATTTTCTGATCATGCTTTGTGTTTGCCTCTGCCTTTACATCCTCTATTCTTTTGTCATGCGATGCCTGAGCCTGATTCAACCTGACCTCCATCTCGTCGCCTCGTTTCCTCTCCTCGTTGAGGGCACTAATGGCATTACCTTCAACCTCCTGCAGCCTTTGCTCATACTCCTGCTCCTGCATTACGAGTCTACTTGACCATTCGTTTCGAATTGAGTCAACTACTCCATGCATTATCTGAAGGTGCCTCTGTTCAGCTTCCCTCATGACTTGCAGGGTATTCCCACTAGTAATCTGGGACAGGTTGTTTTGTATGAAGGTAAAGTACGCAACAACGGGTTGGAACATTGTTTCGTCATCCATCGGCTCGGGGTTGCCCCCGGCCATATTAGGCACAGCGACAGCCGATGGACCTGACCCTGGAACGGCGAGAGGATGGTCAATTGGGGTCCCCATAGCAAAGTAGTGAGACTACGGCTGATAACCTGTAATTTAACAGGTCAGCCAACAATAGGGTAAAATACCTATAGTGGGACCTAAATGCCGCTCAGCTCTTGGCACTGTTTTGAACCAACGCTATCGGGCAGATCGATGATATATACAATACATGGTTCTACTGCAGGAGTTTTTACAATTTATTAAACTATTTGTTTCTATCTATATCATATTCTTTTTCAGGGTGATGCGATTCTAGATACACATCGGACTGATTCGGACTGTATCTCTTTGGCATGATCCAGCTGAAGTTGTGCCCCTCCCTGATAACATCTGATAACTCTTTCAAACATTAGTCGGGCTGTTGGTGACTCTACCATCGTCATCAACAAGTGCAATCTGCATGTGTATATATATATATATACATATATATATACGTGTATATATATATATGTGTGTGTGTATTCCGTTCTATTCCGTTACAATACGGTATATAAGTATATAGTCTTATAATGTCTTATACATCATACATTTCCAAAAAACATCACCACGCCCAGCGGCTCCACGCTCGTCGTCAGCCTTCTGAATCGCATCCTCCAGGAACTTCACGATGGCGGCCTTGGAGCCATGGGATTTCGTGGTGATTTCACCATGCCAAAAATCTCAGATTGTTAGATCACCAAATCATGTTGCTGGTTAATTCACCATACATTGGTGGTTAGTGTATGCATATACATAGACATAGACATATACATATACATCAACATATACATCAACATATCCATCAACATATCCATCAACATATCCATCAACATATCCATCAACATCATCTGCGAAAATTATCATAATTCACTAACCTGAAAAGTTGTGCTTTTGGGGGATAGCCCTACTCACCATCATTCCGACGTGAGGTCACGACGTAAGGTCACTCAAATTTACCAGATGGGATAGCTGGGATTATCACCATATAAAGTGGGTGATATTAACAATATTAAGTGGGATTGCTAAACAATAAATGGGGGATTAACTAATTTACTATAGATGTGCTTTCTGGTAACGTAGCTATGAAACTTACCATTCTTAATAGGTAAATATGGTAGATCAACTATCAATGGGCAGCGTTCAATAGCTATGTTAAACTGCCAGAGGTATCGAGGATTCTCACAAAGCATTATTCCGAATTATTCCAGTTATTGTTGGGGTTAGAAGTCACCATTCCTTAGCCACTTAGCCCAATAACCCTTGCCATGGCTGGTCATCAGCTACACCATGGGGGCTGTAGTAAACCCCAAAAATTTGAACCCGAAAAAGGGTGTGGTGTAAGAACTGTATAACTAGCAACCACCCGACGGTAAGTTTTGGGGTATGGTTTACGGTATTCTTGCACTACATATGTGTATTAAGTTTGAGGATGTGTTTAGGATCTCTTTTCTGGTACTGTTTGCTTTGTATTTGCAGCATTTTGGAGCTAGAACCTATCGGTTTGCATTGGGTTCATGACTCCCAGAAGACTGGTCGAATTCATCATCGGACCCCCGTTGCCAGGGCCCATGAGTTGAGCATTGACAAAAGCTCAACACGCAATGGCAAAACAAATAGAAATCTCTCACAGGTTGGCAGATTTTTGTCCATCATGAATTTCTTATGGTCAATCGCATCATCCCCAGCATGAAGCAATCCAGCTGAATTCTTTTATCATTTTTCGTGTCTTGACCGCTGCCGGCAACCTCTAAGTTCCACAAAAATTCCCGGAAATCGCCATAACAACTGCAATCAGCACCATAAATGGCAGCTACAAATGGCTATAAACCATCCCCAGAGGGGTAGGTGGTTTATTGCCCCGCTGGGTTTCTCCCAGAGCGGTCCCGCGGTCCGGGGCACATCCGTGATGCCACCGTGAATGTCCAACGTGAAGAGCGAGAAGTCCAAGGTGTCCGCCAGGAATTTCACCTTTTCAGCGCCAGAGTTCCCCCATATTTTTGGGAGAAGACCATGGGAAAAATGGGGGACCTCATGACATTTCAATGGGGATTTCATGGGTGATTTTAGCCGGCTTACGTTGACACTTTGACCCTGCGAAGTCAAGGTTGAGCGGAAAGTACTCTGCCAACCCCCGACCGATGGCGTCGTCATGTTGGGAGGCATCCCATCCTGTGAGAAAACATCTTTGATCCATCCCTGCATCCCTTGAACTCACCCAAGTGACCAGCGCGGTTTTTCCACAGCCCGTCTCGCCCATGAGAATCACGGGCAGGCCATACTTCAAACGCTGCTGGATGCTCATGAGTTTGATCAAATTGTCCACCTTGGGATATGAATATCGGCAGCAGCCCCCATCCGATAAAGATATACGCTGTGACCAAACACAAATGGTCACGTTCATGGCAAAAAAAAATGCCGCGCCCATGCTATGCTTCTCCACAACACAAGGCTGGGAGGATGCAATTACAGCCCAACAATCCAAACCACCCAATCAGTGATGATAACGTTATAATCAAAATAAAGATGAAGATAATGATCGAACAAAGTTTAGAAGTCAAACTTCCGACAATATGGACAGATGAAAAGCAGAGGTGGTAAGAGTCAAAGAAGAGAAGAGAAGAGAAGAGAAGAGAAGAGAAGAGATAGGATGATAAGAGATAGGATGATAATGAGATAGGATGATAAGATAGGATGATAAGATAGGATGATAAGATAGGATGATAAGATAGGATGATAAGATAGGATGATAAGATAGGATGATAAGATAGGATGATAAGATAGGATGATAAGATAGGATGATAAGATAGGATAAGATAGGATAAGATAGGATAATAAGACAGGATAATAAGATAGGATAATAAGATAGGATAATAAGATAGGATAATAAGATAGGATAATAATATAGGATAAGATAGGATAGGATAAGGTACGATAAGATTAGATTAGATTAGATAGATTAGATAGATTAGATAGATTAGGTTAGATTAGAGCAGATAGATTAGATAGATTAAATTAGGTAGATTAGATTAGATTAGATTACATTAGATTAGATTAGATTAAATTCGATTAGATTCGATTCGATTAGAATAGATTAGATAGATTAGATTAGATAGGTTAGATTAGATATATAGATTAGGTTAGATTATAGTGACGGACATATACTTAGAACATCAAATTTTCCAAAATTTCGGAACCTTTTCTTAGAACATCAAAACAACTACACTTAGAACATCAGAAATGTTCTAAGTACGCACTTAGAACATCAGAAAAACAGATACTTAGAACATCTCCTTTGATTTTTTGCATACTTAGAACATTAAACACACATATACTTAGAACATGTCCTGTTACTTTGGTAAATCTGCATATATACACACAAATACCTTGGTGAACACCATACTTAGAACACTTTCTCCCCTCACTGCTGCAGCATTCTATACCTTTTCTTCGGGAACAATATCCCAAGCAGTCTTCGCTGCAATAGGAAGGTCTCTCGTATATAATTTGTGGGTTTCCTACAGCGGGTAGTCAAAAAGCATAGGTTTCAATACTAAAATGAGCTAAAATGAATTATGTATAATTTTGAATGTTTTGGAGATGCCTCATTATTGGTTCCCCACTGGGATGTTCTAAGTATAGCTTGGAAATGTTCTAAGTATAGGTTTTGGGTATGTCCTAACGACTTAATACTTAGAACATCCCCGCTGTGACGATTTTCAGATTTTTTTCCAAATGATGTTCTAAGTATTTGTCCGTCGCTATAGATTAGATTAGATGAGATGAGATAAGCTAAGATAAGATAAGATAAGCTAGGATAAGATAAGATAGATAGATACATAGATAGATGGATAGACAGATAGATAGATAGGTAGATAGATAGATAGATAGGTAGGTAGATAGGTAGATAGGTAGATAGGTAGGTAGATAGATAGATAGGTAGATAGATAGATAGATAGGTAGATAGGTAGATAGGTAGATAGATAGATCGATCGATCGATAGATAGATAGGTAGCTAGCTAGGTAGGTAGGTAGGTAGATAGTCAGAGAAAGAAAGAGAGAGAGAGAGAGAGAAAGAGAGAGAGAAAGAGAGAGAAAGAGAGAGAAAGAGAGAGAAAGAGAGAGAAAGAGAGAGAAAGAGAGAGAAAGAGAGGAGCCCTCAACCACCTTTCGGTCCATCAGTGGCTTCGCTCTGCCATCCGTGATTCACAACAACGAACCTCTCCTATAGGTTTACTATTTATTTTTGAAACTTCCGCCACCGCCTTGTGCGGTACTACTGGTAATGACAATGACAGCAATAAAGAAGAATGATAGTGATCATTGTGAAAATAATGATCATGATCATAATGATTATCATGATCTTTGTCATAACCATGATCTTTATCAAAACCATGATCTTGATAAGAATGACAATTAAATATAAACCCATCCCCCCACAACAACCCCTCCAAGACGCCGTTACCACATAGTCCTGGAAGCGTGAAAGACTTCAAGGTTTGACTTCCCATTCTGCGTTGGAAGGAAAAGCGGCCATGTGTAAGACGATTTTGGGGAGAAAATCTGATATAAATTATCACTACAAGACTATATCACGATATCACTTTATCACTATATCATACTAAATCCCAAACCTTATCTAATGTATATATATATAGAGATATATATAATGATATTACTCGCTGTTGGCTGCGGCCAGTTCCTCCCAGCTTAAAATGGGATGGTTCCGATGCGAAACGAGATTTGGCAATCCCAAGAATTGGCATGCCTCAAGACTGGATACAGTAAAGAAATGTAATTATGTAATCTGTATCACAAAGTTTCAACAAAAAGTCTTTGGCAAAAAAAACAATAGAGCAGTACCTTACTCAACAAATGTCCTTCCCACAGCTACTGCTTGGTGAATAGGATTTCGTCTCATGAGTTGCAGTGGTCCTCACTCAACCATGAGTACATACAATCTTTTACAACTCCAAGTTTATCATCATTTCTGGCTTGCAACACCCTTCTTGTAGCCACTGTAGCTTGAAGTCCCCAGACTTTCCCAGGTCCTTGGGCCCTTTGAGGTGGTCCTGTGCGGGTGGCCCTCGATCCTTCACCGATGGCAAACATCCCTTATTTTGTTTGGTAAAAAAACATGTTGCAACCATCCAAGGTGCAGAACTTCTGCTTTTATCATGGGGATATGACATGATATAATACAACAGGTAATTGGCTAAAAATAATGAATTATAAGCAACAATCCAAGGGGATTGAAGCAACAATGACAGCTTCATGGTGCAACCCTGATGCTGGCCATTGGGGGGCGATCATCCAAAAAATCTGATTCAACAGGAAACACAATGTGAAGCCACCAGCCAGCTGCCAGCTTTAGGATTGGAAAAATCATCTCTTGGGATTGTCAAAAGCCGAAAAAATTGATGATTTTTTTCATGACTGGGAATCCGTGGCCATCTTCGACACAAAGTTCGTGGCGAATCTGAGACAGCTCGCAAAAGACCATCATAGTTTTTGCTTTTTGGGTCGTTTCATTTCTCCATGAAAATGGTCAAAAAACAAACTTCAACTGGGTTTACCATTTGGTGATACATGGAATTGACATCAATTTTCTACAAAATTTTCCACCAGTTGGTTACTTCAGCCGTTCACCCGGATTCCATTGGGCCCTTTTTTTGGCCCGTTGGGTCACCGTCGCAACGTCGGTCGAAACGGCCTTCTTTTGTAGCAACGCACCACCTTCGATCTGATGCACCAGCCCCACAGCATCTGTGTGCGTAACTTTGGACCAATCCCTGGGCGGCACGCGGCAAGGGCGTTAGCCTTTAATAACCTCAATATAAGTGGTATTAACATGTATTAACTAAAGAAAAATAGCAATGATAAATGATATCTATATCTATATATATATAATATTAATTCCATTTAATTCCTGTATAGTTGATATAATTCAAATATAAAACGATGCTTCATGGTTAATCCATGATCCAATCCCCTGGGCCATAGCGAATGAGGGACCCAGATCGCCAGATCGCTAATCCAATGTATCTTGGTATCTGATACTCAACCCATGACCGAGGGAAGAAATGCCCAGGCCTGTCGAGTTTCAAGTCATTCAAATTCAGCGAGTTTTGCAAACTCCTGCGCCAGAGATGCCAGGTTGGAATGATCCCCGCCAGTCAACCAACTAATGACTCACCCAGCCAACCACCAGCCAGCCAGCCCACCCAACCCAATGCAACGCAACGCAACCCAACCCAACCCACCAACCAAATAAGTACCGGTCAAAGCCTCCCAACTTGGTTCCTAATTGTTTTCTCCTGTTTTTATAAGAATGGCATATCCAACTTACTTGTCATTTCGCAGTATGAGGTGATATAGTTCGCTAACGAGCATTGCTACCTGGCCCCATCCTATTCAAGAGACACTTTGTGATCAAGCAAATTAGCCTGTACATAAACGATAACAATATAATATTGTGTATGTATAATATATAACATGTGCAAAAATATTTGCATATATATATATTATAGAATGTGCACATTTCCTTACCTTACCTTATCTTACATTATATTACATTACGTTACAATACCTTACATTGCCTTAGATTACCTTACATTGTTACATTACCTTGCCTTACTTTGCATTGCACTACATAACATACATGGTGGTCGGTCGAAATATGTTTCCCAAAACTGTGCAAAACTCCTGTTTCGATGGGGGCCCGCTACATAGTTTACATCACCTGAAGTTGGCATTCAGCAAGAACAAAGTTACCTCGCAAGGCGCCAGTGGACTGGTCTCCTGTCGATGAAATTGCCAATGAAGTCCCTTTGCAGGCTCATGATGTTGCAGCCAATGATGGCACCTGGCCAGAAAACACCAGCCCAACGAGGCGGTGTATCCCCCAATGGTTGCTTCAAATATCTCAAAATCCCTGTTTTCTTTGGTGAAAAAGCACGTTTTGTTTGATGTTGAAACATGTTGAAACGTCGGATTTGATCAATTGGTTGATGGAATGTTGTTAAAATTGGCGTGAAAATCCCGATGCTCCTGCCCTGGTCACCAAACACTGCCTCGATCGTTCTTCTTGAAGTTGGCCACAGGATGGATGCAGCTCTCCTTAGACCCAGTGATCTCCAGTGATGTCCCTGCTATGGTCAGATAATGATCCAGTTACTACCTATAATATAGATTCTAGTACAGCAACATCCTACCAAAATACAGGAAATTGATGTTTCGATCTTTTTGGGGATGACTATAAATATACTGTATCCCAGTTGTATGTGGGATCTACGCAGTTTAACAAAGGTTATGATGTAGTCACTCCCTATTTCCATTGGGTATGATTGGGTTCCGATGTAAAATGATTTTTCAAACTGAAGTGCCCAAACATTTTGACGGTCAATACTGAAGTGCCCAACATCTGTCCCCCGATTCTGGCCTGATCTACCCATTGTAGATGGGTCAGCCGCACCCCGGAAGTCACCCCAAGTATCTCTGCTCTCAGCACGTAAATGCTACTAGAGGAGCCGTCAAATTTGTTGGTTTTTTAGACACAAAGGCAACCATTAATGATCCAACTCCAATTTTGGGGGCTTCATAATTTTAAGCCAAGCCCAACGGAGGAAAGTTGGGCGACCCTTCGAAAAGCTTGTCCCTGAATCTTAGCTGCAATAAACCCTCTTGCTCTCCACAAAATTTCAGGGACGTGTGTGTGTGTATATACATATATATATATGTATAATGTATGTATATATATATATAATGTGTATATATATAATGTATGTATATATATATAATGTATATATATAATGTATATATATATACTGTATATATATAATGTATATATATATATAATGTATATATATAATGTATATATATATATAATGTATATATATATATATAATGAAAATGTCTACATGTCTGCGTGTACATATATACAGTATATATATATATTGTGTATGTGTACATGTGTATATATATATATTATAGAGAGAGAGAAAGAGAGATGTATCTATGTATATGGATATAATATACAGTATGTATGTATATATATATATATGTGTGTGTGTGTATGTACAGAGATAATACATATACGGGACGAATGATTCAACTTGGAAATCCCCAAGTTTCAACTTGGCCCCAAAAATTGGGCAATCGACTCAGAACAAGAAAGACTTGACCATCCCCCGTGTAGGGAAAACCAAGACAACTAAGATGGAACATCCAACGAACCAAGCAGAACGAAGTGTTTAAAACATTACACTCCCCAGCCGTTCCCAGCCCTTTTTTCCCCGAGACTCCCAGGAAGGCATCTGGTCAAAGCGTGCCACGTAAGCCGAGGCATCGATTCTTCCAACTCCTGTATTCTCCATTTTGGCGTCTGCCTGGCTGGGGGAAATTCAAGGCCAGTCTCAAACCTTGGATTTCAATCTCGATATCTGTCGTATTTTGGGTGGTGTTCAGGGGGTGATCTTCGGGGTTCCATTCGTTACCCCCAGATGTGCCTTAAAAGATCGGATTCATGGTTTATGGTGATCCCATACTGGGAATCCGTGGGTTTTTGCAATCCCTACGGATTGATGACCATCCCCCAATGGTTCATGGTTCATGTAATCCAACTACCTTGACCATGGCACATATACCCTCCGGAAATCAAACATATCAATTGAAGATAATCTATTTGGTTCGATGATTTTCTCAGCTATAAACCTCCGTTTAGTTCGGGGATTTTCCAGCCAGCCACGTTTGATGACACCAGAGGGTAACCGCCATTGAGTATGACCTGTGGTCCTATTCCCTACATAGTGGGGCCTCCAAACGCTATAAGTGGATCTAAGTATAGATATATAATTATGTATGATTTGATGTATATATAATATAGATATACGATATATCCCTCATAACCCCAACAGTTGTTGTAATTGTAGCTGTAAACCAACTTAGCTAGTACAAATCAATGTTAAATCCATATGGTGATTGCTTAAATCATGTGAAATCCCATTTTTCCCATAGTTTTTGATGGTTCGATGGAGGTTTCCTGAGTCATGGTACCCCCAAATCATCCAAACTTCGGCCTTTTCTGGTGGATCCCCCATGACTCAAGAACCCCATGAAATCCCATTGATCACCATGGGTCCAATTAAATCCCATTAGTTAATCTCATTCTTAAACCACCATCAAATCACAATTAAGGTTCCATATCTTAATTTTAGTTCATGATGTTCATGAAATTTAGGCTGAAGCTTAAACCCCAATATGCTAACCACCACTAAATCACCATTAAATCACTATCAATCCCATTAAGTCCGACCAATATTTATATAACCATTAAAATGGTTACATTTCATTACATCTCATTGAATCACCAGAAAAAAAAAGACTGCTTCCATCAATCCCATATGGCAATCCCATATGGCAATCACCATTAAATCACCAGTTTTATCCCGTTGGATCCCATTTTTGCTCAAGCCATCATAGGTTAGTTGTTCCGTACCTCGTGCTGTGCTGCTATCTCCTGCTGCGCACGACTTTGCTGCCGCTGCAGGGATGGCGTTCCGCGCTGTCCGCTGGTCTTGCCTCGAAAAAACACCCGTGAAGACCTGGGGGTTGACCAAGCCGCCCTTAACGGGGGATCTAAAGGGATATCATGGGGATATGACCAGCAAGTTGGGGATGAACATATTCAAACTGGTGGTTTAACCAGTAAGCACTGGAAACTTAACCATCAAAAACACTGCATCAAACCTAACAATCAAAATTGGTTTCAGCATAGATACACGCAATGGGATGCCCCAATGGGGGTTTAACAATCTAGGTGCTGAACGCCAATGGTTTAAGCAACAATATGTGTATGTGTATATATATATATATATTGGGCATACATATTATTGGGATCTCAACCAGCGATGGACTGTGGGTTTAACATCGCTTTCTCTCTTAAAATTGCCATTTGGCGTGGAAATACCACATGTTCAAAACCAAATCCCAGATTGTTGTCTACTTATATATATCCCATTAAATTCCACTAATTTACCATAAATACAGGCAATGTTATTGCGTATCCTTTCCTTTTCAAATAAAAAACTGTATTTTGTTGCCTTCTATATATAATGCGATGTTTCAAGAAAATGTTCTTTAAATAATCAAGGTGTTGCTTCGTTGCGTATGTTCTGTCTTTTGTTGCTTCCTTTCCTTGCGTTTCCAAGATTTGGCCGGCAGGGCATCAATGCAAAATTAACGTGAAAAAAAATGACAAATGGCAAAATTATGTGGCTTCAAGGCTCTCCCAAGGTTGATAATTTGAGCAATACCCATAACACCCCCAAGACCGGGAAATTAGCTAGAAAAATCATACTATTTTCAGATCTAGCGAACCTACATATTTTGGAAAAAAATGAGCAAGAAATATTCGGACTCTAAGTCTAGGTCCACATTTCAATCATCCAGCTATATCATGCTATATCCAATTTTGACTCAGATCCTCGTTGTTGATGCCCCTATTGGCCCTGCTGTAGCACATCCTGTGCAGGTGGCACCCCGTTCCACCCCGTTCCGCCGTTCCTGGAAGGAGACCGAGAAACCATATCACTGCCCCGTTGATCTGGTTGGTGGTGCAATTTCACCATCTTGAAAAATATGAGTTCGTCAATGGGAAGGATGACAACCCATATATGAAATGGAAAATAAAAAATGTTTGAAACCACCAATCAGTGATAATCTAGCAGTATTTGGTGGCTCCTGTATCCATAAGAATCCTGGTCAAACCAGCCATATGATTTTTGGTGTTTGCACCCCAGTGTTGCTGATGAAATCCACATGTCACATTTCTGTGACTTAAATCGTGATGGCTAAACCCCCCACTCTTCAGTTCTTAGATTCCCCTAATGATTCCCCTAATGATTCCCCTAATGATTCCCCCATGATGATCCTAATGGTTTCCCATTTGCTTCATCGTCAACTCCCCATTGAAACGCCCAAGCGTCGGGTGAGGGTGGGCGCGCCGCTCATGCCGCTGAGATTTCGCAGCAGCTCCGGAGGCAGCGGGGCACCATCGGAACCTGGCAATGGACCATCCTCCATTTGTAGTTGATTATTCCTAACAAAATCTTTCATGTATAGGGGATGTTCAATTGCCATCTTTGATTACCAGAAGGTACTGTAATGTACGTAGGTGTGTGTGTGTGTGAAGAAGAAGAAGAAGAAGAAGAAGGAGAAGACATGGCATATAAGCTATGTATATATATAAAGGATGATTGGCAAGTAACTCTGCATTAATATACATAACACCCACATCCCAACTATATATATATACAGTATATATATATATCTTATAGGTTATAACATATGCATAACCTAAAGATATGTATTACATATGTGTGGGCAACCCATAATCCTGGCAATCCGGTCTCCGTCCACCTGGGATTTTCCAAAAAATTGGGTTTGTTTACCGGTCAGCACCCACGGATCGAAGCTGAGATATGGTACATAGACAGAGACACGGACAAAGAATGACAAAGACATGTACATGTAAAGATACAACTACGATCATTATATAAATATATATATATATATAAATCGTATATAGCAATAGAATAGATTCATGCATGATAATAGATACAGTCCCGGACAAAACTGTCACCCATCTAATCCTTTACCACTTTTGCATTGCTTCAGTTGCTTCCCACTGAGATGCGGCTGAACTTTTTCCACGCGTCCGAAAGGCGGCGAAACGAGGAAAAAGGATCGAAAAATAAATACTAAGCCACCACCAGAATAGCAGGGCTTCACTTTTTCCACATATCATATGTTTATATAATCTTATAAAATCTAAGAATATGAAAAAGAAAAAACGAGTGACACGATTTCCTTTCATGATGGGGCTGGGATGTCAAGCCCAGGCAGAGCACCAATCTCTCGGCCAAGTAACTTGGAGCAACAGGGAACCCATGGTAGACATCTCCAGCAGTCGATCATTTTAGTATCAAAACCATCAAAACCGACCGATGGTTTCCCCACTATCCTTGAAGGATCATCGCATAATCCTCCACAGATGTCCAGCAGTCCCACTGGTTGATTCATAGAAGATTACCCCCGTGAAAAACACCCAACATCTAGATGATAATTGAATTAAGATAGATCCTGCTAGCTAAAGGGTTGGAAGATTAGTTTCCACTAAAAATGTTCCATTTTCAGGTCTCTGCTAATTTGGGAGAGAGTATGTTTCCTAAAAGGACAATATTACTGGATGACTTATGATAGTTCACTTAGCTAAAATATGGTTACTTTGGGATACTTGCCCCTTATTAGCCATCATTCCAGTGAGGTCTTAGTGAGGTCGTTTATAATTTACCCATCTCATTAGCCATTCTCAGAACCATAAATTGACCATAATTGACCATCATTAACCATCATTAACATTTATTAACCGCATTAACCATCATTATTGATACCCAACTTCCCCCCCCAAAAAAAAACTCCCATTCGGCACCTCGACTCACCCCACGTCCCAAATGGGGCGGCAGGGTCGGAGGCGCAAGGATGGAGGGAAACGTCGTGTCCATCGCCTGCTGTAGGGAAAGTGTGGTTTAACCAACAATAAATGAAGGTTTAATCAACAATGGTATAGTTTTTTTTAATATATTGATATATTAATAAATGGTTGATATCTTGACAAATGGAAAAAATCATATATCGATATATCCTTACGTGTATATTCAAATGTACGTACATGCGGATGTGTGTATGTGTGTATGTATATGTATATGTGCATCTACATCTACATCTACATGTACATGTACATGTGTATGTGTATGTGTACATGTATGTATGTGTGTGTGTGTGTATGTGTATGTATGTGTATGTTTGTATGTATGTGTATGTGTATGTGTGTGTATGTTTGTATGTATGTGTATGTGTATGTGTGTATGTATGTGTATGTGTATGTGTGTGTATGTATGTGAACGTATGTGAATGTATGTGTATGTATGTGTATGTGTGTATGTGTGTGTGTATGTGTATGTGTGTGTGTATGTGTATGTGTGTGTACGTACGTCTGTGTATGTATGTGTACGTACGTCTGTGTACGTACGTCTGTGTATATGTATGTATGTATGCATGCATGCATGCATGCATGCATGCATGGATGTATGTATGTATGTATGTATGTAATGTATGTAATGTATGTAATGTATGTAATGTATGGAATGTATGTAATGTATGTATGCAATGTATGTAATGTATGTAATGTATGTAATGTATGTAATGTATGTAATGTATGTAATGTATGTAATGTATGTAATGTATGTAATGTATGTAATGTATGTAATGTATGTAATGTCATGTAATGTATGTAATGTCATGTAATGTATGTAATGTATGTAATGTATGTAATGTATGTAATGTATGTAATGTATGTAATGTATGTAATGTATGTAATGTATGTAATGTATGTAATGTATGTAATGGATGTAAATGTATGTAATGGATGTAATGGATGTAATGTATGTAATGGATGTAATGTATGTAATGTATGTAATGTATGTAATGTATGTAATGTATGTAATGTATGTAATGTATGTAATGTATGTATGTATGTATGTATGTATGTGTGTGTATGTATGTATGTATGTATGTATGTAGGTATGTAGTATTCAGAGATGTAGTATTCAGAGATGTAGTATTCAGAGATGTAGTATTCAGAGATGTAGTATTCAGATGTAGTATTCAGAGATGTAGTATTCAGAGATGTAGTATTCAGAGATGTAGTATTCAGAGATGTAGTATTTAGAGATGTAGTATTCAGAGATGTAGTATTCAGAGATGTAGTATTCAGAGATGTAGTATTCAGAAATGCAGTATTCAGATGTGTAGTATTATATAATATAAGATATATTCCAACGTTAAACTTATCATCTTTAAATATTTGAAAAGGTAGACCTGGAAGAGCCGCTTAGCCTATTTATATATATATATGTATGTGTATTATTATATATATATATGTAGATACATATATATATATATAAAAAGATGCAAGCTCACCATTTTTGACCCACTTCGCAGCATGTTTCTCAAAAATAAACAAATCAAACAAAAACCAACAGCATACTACTGATCCCCAATCACGGAAAACCTTTCTTCTAAGCCAGGCCAAACCCCAAGCGAAGAAGATAAGGTTAATTCTTTCATTAGGGAGTGCCGAGCCAAACCTTCTGGCCTCCTAATGATAAAGAATTCAGTAGTATACTGGGCCGAAAAATAAATCCTGACTGGTGATCCACTGAAAGCTCTTGCTGGAAGCTGTTTTAACTCGAGTTTTCTTGCTCTTCTTGCCCCTCTTTCCCAGGAGTAAAACTCCCGACCAGGAGCAGAACTCCCGGGTGGTGAGGGGGGGAGCTTGAACTCGAACACTTCGGTACAAAAACGGGGTATTGCATCTTAACATCCGGGGCCGTACTTACAAAGATGCAAGCTCACCATTTTTGACCCACTTCGCAGCATGTTTCTCAAAAATAAACAAATCAAACACAAACCAACAGCATACTACTGATCCCCACTCACGGAAAACCTTTCTTCTAAGCCAGGCCAAACCCCAAGCGAAGAAGATAAGGTTAATTCTTTCATTAGGGAGTGCCGAGCCAAACCTTCTGGCCTCCTAATGATAAAGAATTCAGTAGTATACTGGGCCGAAAAATAAATCCTGACTGGTGATCCACTGAAAGCTCTTGCTGGAAGCTGTTTTAACTCGAGTTTTCTTGCTCTTCTTGCCCCTCTTTCCAATCCCCCCTGTCCTTCCGCGATTTTGCGGAGGCTCAAGTGTTCCAAAATTTGGGCGCAGCAGAGTTTGTTGAAACACATTCAGGAAGGGACGGAGAGTAGGGTGGGAACTGGGTAATTTCATCGTGGCTAAGACAGCTAGTCCCTCGTTTATGTAGATGCGTGCACTCTTCTGAGTCTGCCACCGGCCTTGCAAAAGGATCCGGTCAAGGGACTGATGCTTACTAAACCAAAAAGTAGCACCGCCTCTTCTGAGGCTGTATGGTCGAAAACCCCATTTTGTGAGGTCTAGACTTGCAAGGCAGTCATTAAACATCTTTCGCCAGGAGGCGGGGGAGATAGCAAGGGGGGTTCCAGCCTGTGCCTTCACTTTCCAATGTTGCACCAAAGAAACAGCGGGTTCAAACCCTAGAATGACACTCTCTGCTGCTCCTTGGCGTTTCCCACCTTTGGTGAGTCCCAGGGAGATTAAAATTTGCTTGTCTTTTGCTGACGATATCATCTGGGATGATCGCAGTCCCAGCAGCTCTCCGGTTCTTAACATGGTATAGAAGCCTACCAAGAGTGACACACCAAACGAATAAAAACCCTTGAAAAAGGCCCAGCCTGCCATTGCGTGAACCACATGTTCGGGTAGCGGAGGTGCCCTATTGGGCATTTCGTTGACATGCCATGTCTTCAGGAGCCGCCAGGCCCCCGGAAGCTGATTGCGAAGGTTAGGTTGAATATCCTGCAGTCCCGCCAAAGTGTCACAGGCCAGAGCCCGTCCTGCGCCATTTGACCAAAGATGTTCAATATAGTCACAGACTAGTGGATCCATTTGTGACTTATTGCGGGGTAGAACTTTGCCTTCAGCTGCTAAGAATGCCATGAACGCCTCAGTGGCCTTATTGTACCTACGCCTAGTGGCTGGTTGTACCGTCAACTGCTTCAATGTACCTAGCTTGCGACGTTGCTGCGCTCGATCCTCTGGCTTCTCTGCCTCAAGAAGCCTTTTTGGAGCCATTTCTAAACTTTGTCTGCACCCGCCTGCCCCACCTACTGGGCTTGTCGGCGGGATTCTGATCTGTATGGATATAGCCCCACAGGGGCTGAATGTTCGAAGCCAGGATCAGCGCATTTATTCGAGCAAGGGTACGGCGAAGCTTTCTGGAACTTGATCTTCCTCTGGACAGGCAATGTAAGCACACTAAGCTGTCAGTCAAGTGTATCAACCGAGTTCCAAGATGGTGACGGTGTTCGATCCTCCACCTGAGAGACGTCAATATGGCACGCAGTTCTAAGGAGTTTATATGCTCCCGACCTAGCGTCCATCGCCAGCCAGTGACCACGCGCCACCGCCACAGAGACGATGAGAGACTCGCTCTCAGCCTGTGGTACTTCACCATCTGCGTAGTGGGCGTCGTGAGCATCACATCTTCTCCCTTGATGGATATTAGGTTACCAAGTTTGAACGCCAAGGCATACATGGGCTCATGGTCCACCCCCTGAGAGGGATTAAGCGGGAGGCGCACTAGGCGCCCTTGGGTGGTGTCAGCCTGACCTGGGCTTATTCGATCCATCACTTCCTGCGGCGATGGCGATGAGATAAACCCTAGCCTGCCAAGCAGCTGACCTAGTAGCCACGCGACTACCGGAACACTCCAGCTGTTGCCCAGCAGCGAGAGCCGAATGTCATTGTAGGCGTCACCTTTTCTTTGGCCTTTAGGAGCGCAAGAAGCGGTATAGTTCAGGGGAAAACCCATCATCACCTCCCGCTCTTGCAGGTCAGGGATGCGCAAGACATTCTTTTTGTTCACCAAGCAGTGCTGCTCTCGATATTGATAAGGAGGGAAACGGTGCAAGTCAGCTTGCCACCGCTCAATTTCCTCTTGGCTGCACTCCCGAAGGCCAGCTGGTTTTCGCCCAGGCTTCTTCTGAGGTCGTGCCGTGGTGAAAGTCGGAAAGGGATGATCAGGGTCCACCTTGATCCATCCTTTCTTTATCACTTCTGAGATGTCCTGGTGGGCCCAGAGTTTCACCTCCACAGGGGCAGGAGCCCCCGAGTCATGCTTTGATGAGATGAACTGTGCCTCCAACTCCCAGTCAACCCAATAAAGGCGGGGCCTCTGACACCAAGTAAGGCTTCCAGCGTTACACGAGATGGGCTCCGTCCCGATGCCGGCGCTCATAGCGTGTCGGTCCGCGGCATCCATCGAAGCCACCGATTCCATGAGGGTGTACACGGGGCACCACACAAAGTGCTTTTTCAGGAGCTCACGCACCCGAGGCACATGGCTAAAGAGGGACGACCTTGCATCTCTGAGGGCTCCCTTGCGGTCAGCGTTGAGCCCGCTGACCCCCTGGCAGGGGGGGCCTCCTCCCAGTATGACCAAGTTGCATTGGGAAAACTGGGTGCTCCACGACTTCACTTGATCTTCCGTAACTGTCTCCACCAGCTCCAGTGTCACCACACCTGGGTAGTGAGACTCAACGACACGACGCGCTGACGCTTCCTTCTCCACCGACACATGTCCCGCAACTTGCACCCCAAGGATATCAAGGGCAACCCTGAGGGCCCCGATCCCGTCAAAAAGCCCAACGGAGAGGATGAGATTCCCTGTATTGTGCTCGGCAATCTCACCACGAAGCTTCCCCTGCGCAACCTGTTTTCCAAAGTCTGTCACCGCGCTGCTCACACATACTCCACCACCTGTCGATGAAGCATCGCTACAAGTGATCTCAGCATGCATGTCCAGACGAAAGTCAAGTCGGGCCAGGGGCAACATTCCCAAGAAGCGCAGGACCTCCAGTTTACAGTCCAGGGGAGTTGTCCGGTAGCCGTTGGCTCCTTGGTTGAACTCCTCAATGTGTGTCCACACACGATTGAGCCCGCCCAGGAGAGGTCGCCGGAACATGGAGAAGTAAACCAGGCCCCCGCAGGCCACCTGCCATTGCTTCTGGGTTGCCCCCGCCTGAGAGATCAGTTGCCATGCCATACCGAAGTACTTGCACAGCTTGCTCTCTCGAGGGTATGCCGCATTTCTGCCTTGCAGGACCGCTGAACGCTCTTCTTCACATTGCGCGGTACCTGCCACTTTTCATACTCCTGCCTTAGGGCCAGGATTCCTGGTGCCACGGTTTCTTCGACGTCGACCATGTCAGTAGCCTTCACCTTCTCAAGGAGGTCATAATTATCAAGGTACACCCTCCAGATGCTGGGCCCAGCACAGAAGGGGCGATCCTTGCGGTGCTCCGACTCCGGAGCATTGACCTCCCGGGATAGGCTTGACTCATGAGAGGCCAGCACCAAATTGCGGTGCACATTTTGGGCCAAGCTCACGGAATTGAGAAATCCCATTGGTAAGACCTTGGCGGCCAGGTAGATGACACGTCCTTGAAGATGTGATGGAAGCACGTCATCCGGAACTCGTTTGTTGAAAGCTAAAAACTTAACCCAACATTCCGGAACAGAGAGTGTGTAGAAGAAACACTTCACGTCCTCGCTACTTACTAAGAGGCACTCTGATGGCTGGAGAAAGAAGGGGGACATGCCACTCCATGCAGGCAATGTATTCACATCGCCAGCAAGGGGAGCGCACAGCGAATTAAGGGGTATTAAATTCATGATTAGACGAAAAATCTCTACTCCCTCAGCTGTTCTCTCTTCTTTCGTTACGCCAAACAGTCCGTTCAGCAGTGGACCTTGTCCGGTGTCAAAAACTTCTGATTCATCGATGAAACTACATATTCCACTCTCCACCAGGCCGCTACATACCTCTCCCCAGTCACAGTCATCCACAAACACCTTGGGACGCTTGATTGGGCCCCATTCAGCTGGGGGCTTGAGATAGTGATCAAAGTGTAGCACATAGTGGCGTGACCCTTCGCTACACACATCGGCCAGGGGCACCCTTCCTATCTCCCGAGGCAACGCCGGAGCGATGTTGTTCCAGGAGAATTTTTGGGCCACCCGTGGAACGGATCCTAAAGAACTCATCCCAAACAAGGTCTTCAACCAGACAATCCATAGAACAAAATCTACGGACATCCTTCAACAGTCTCTCAAGACAGGATTTTTGGACCGCATTGCAATTTCCCTCGGAGACAACTTCACCGCCCCACGTTGAGTTCAAAGACAACACCACACACACCAACCACCACAACTCATCCTGGCTCATCTCGGGGAACAAAGCAACTAAAACAGATCTAGAGGTAGGCAAGGGAAAAACTGCTGCACTATATTCCTTGCCCGTGGTCTGGCTGCGAAGTGGTAAAACCTCTAGAAGCCTAGTTGCCAAAAATTCTCCACATTCACCCAGTCTCTTTCCCGACAAAAACACTCGAGCATCACTTTTTTCTCGGACAAAAGCGTCGACCATTGTCTCAAGGGCCGCCACGTCCGCAACGTAGTCAGCAGCCGCCTCTTCAGCAGCCGCAGCACACCAATTCTCCGCAGCCCGCTTCGGGGCAGCCTCATGCATTGATTGCGGCGCGGCCGCACCAACATCGCCAGCAAGGCCCTCATCGACGCTCCAAGTCCCCAGGTCAAATCCCTGGCAGGGGGCCAGTGCCTTCCCCCCTTCATAGCCAGCCTCACTATCAGCCGGGACTTGGTTCATATCTTTTTCAAGGGATCTCTCCCTCGGATCTGTAGGCTCCTCGCCTCTGTCGCTCCTCAAGCCTTGCCTGTTCCCTCTTCCTTCTTCTTGGCTGCATCTCCTTTCGGATTGGGGCCCTTGCCCCATCTTCTGTCTTTGCCTCCTCCCTTCTGATTGTCCTTCCCTTCGGCCTTGCTCTTTCCGGTCCCTTTTGGGCTGCTTGCCATGCCGCGTCCTTCCGGCTGACTGCTGGGCCAGCGCATCTTGCTCTCCTGGTAGACATCTCTCCTTGCTTCGCCCATCTCTGGCAGGGGAGTAAGGGTTGTATTCTCCTGCGGTAGAATCTCCAACTTTTGAGATACCGACCAATGAGTCCCTGCAAGGGTACTCTCGCAGGACTTTAACCTCTGTAGCAACAAGTCCATGGCCCCTGCTGCATTGCCTCCCATCATCAGATCCACTGTCGCCGCTATGCTCAGCAGCTCCCGCTGCGCAGCCCCAGAGGCACGTTTTGCCAATTGTTGCCGGTAATAGGCAACTGCGCAAGGCCGCAGTGTCCCCGGCTTGTCGGCACTCCCGATTTCGCTCAGAAGGAGCGCCCGCATCTGTGACAATGCTTGACAAGCGAGGGCGCCGGGGCAGCCGGCAGCTACCAGGCGCACTTTGGAGGCCTGTTGAAAGACTGTCTCTTGGTCCATTTCTGGTGGCGGCTCTTCTGAGGAGCTGCTGCTCCCGGAACCTTCTGAAGAGTCCTCCGTCTTGCCCTTCTTCCTCACCACTTTTCTGGCCTTTTGCGAGACTCGACGTCGGACTCTTTCCTTTGGGTCCAGTCCAGTACCCTTGAACAAGGCCGACAGGCTTTTTGTGGCCGCCTGCATCGGCCTGGACCCATCCATCTTGACGTCCACCTCCGACGAAGACGATGACGGGATCCTCTCCGTTTTCTTCTCCTTCTCCTTTCTGTCTTTCTTTTTCTTCTTTTCTTTTAACTTCTTCTTGTCCTTCCGCTTTTCTCCTCCTCCGAGATCTGGTATGTCTTCTCCAGGAGCCCGCATCTGCTCCCGCTTCCTCAGCTCCGAAAGGTCGTCCTCGCCCTCCGCAGGGACTACCTTCTCCAAGTTGTTCACCCAACCTGGCTCCTTCTCGATGGTTGCCATCCTCCGGACTCGACTGCAGTGGATGAGGGAGTCGGACACCTCCTCCCGATTGCAACCTTTGCCGCACAGGTGAAGACGATACGCCGTTGTGGGGTCTCCAGAGTGATGCTTCAGCAGGCCCTCGTGTGTAGTGCCCAGCAGCTGGGCCTGAAGGTAGGCCTCGTCGTCCTTGACTTCGATGCCTCGTACTACAAAGGCCACCTGACACTCTTGGAGATAGTAACTTGCCTTGGGAGCTACTACCTTCACTCCCGCACCAAGCTTTTTCAGGGGCACCTCCCCCGCATCCAGCTCTTGGCCGCGATCCCATAGCTCGGCGGGAGCAGGAGCTGCTTCTCCGCCTTGATCTCCTCTCGAAGCTGGCCTTCTCAAAGCGCCCCCTCTGCCTCTCACTCTGGCTTTTGCTCTCGCCTTCGCTTTCCCTTTTGCCCTTGGACGGGCTGGGGCCTTTGGTGCCCCCTTTGCTTTTGCCTTTGGCGCCATCAGTACTGACGGCGGTTCTCACGCCACCTTCGGCCTCTCGCCCTGTGAGTGGCTCCTTTGCTCTTCTTCTTCTTTCTCTCTCCCTGTGCCCTGGGTTCTGTGTCTCCTCGCCGATGATCTTCGTGACGACGTGGAGGTGGGTGGTCGGGCTCAGCCGGCCGACGTTCTCCTCCTTCTCTTCTCCTGCGGCCTTCCTCAAGGGTCCGGGCTACGCTGCCTCGAACTGGAAGGGTTCCCAGCTCGAAAGAGCGAGGGTTGCTGGAGACGAACTCGTCCACACGATCTTGAAGCTCCTCAGCTGCTGTGACCCTTCGGGGGGCTTCTTCCGTATCCTCCTTCTCTTCTACTTTGACTTTCTTCTTTTTGTCTGATTGGAGATCCTCAGCCTTTTTTCTTTTTCCTTTAACTTCTTTTCCAGGAGATTCCTCCTCTCCCGAACTAGGCTCCTCTATGCCTTTGTCCTTTCGCTTCTTCTTATCCTTCTCAGGCTTGTCTTTCTTTCCTGACTTCACGGCCTTCTCTGCCTCAGTCTTTTCGAGTACTCCGCTACGGCCTGAAGACGGCTCGGAGTGCTTTTCTTCCTTGCACTGCCCTGGTTCCACTGCCTTTCCCACCGCCTGCTTCTCCAAGCTCGCTACCGCTGCTCGGTTGGCCTCTGCCAGGTCGGTGATCGCCCCACAGCAATCCCGCAAGATCTGAAGAGCAGCAGTTTCCTGACAGGGTGCCAGACCGATGGTATGCAGCTGCCAACCTATGCGCGAGTAGGTCCGGCACACAGCGCAGGGGGTGCCTATGAAAGTGCGGCACAGGGAACAGAGCATGCAAGGGGCTAGCTTGAACTCGAACACTTCGGTACAAAAACGGGGTATTGCATCTTAACATCCGGGGCCGTACTTACATATATATATATATACATATATATATATATGTATTGCGGAGATTCATCAACAAGATGATATGGGTCTGCCTGAAATTTGGAAATGACCTTCAATGTGTTGCATTTTAATATCGAAAATTATGATGATAAACAGTGGATGGAACGAGGTACATAGCCCACTTTCAGTTTCTTCTGATCGTCAAATCTTTCGAATTACTGGGTCGGCGAATGGTATTGCCACAACTATTGACAATTTGCTCTTGTCGATTGGAATTGCTCATAGGGGGTCCCCACACAAGTGATACTTCCATCATCTTCCATCTACATATTTAAAATTGATACCTGGGATCAACTGGGCTTTACTAGTCTGGGTTTACTAGTTCAGGTTTGACCTTACAGAAAGCCCATAGGTTTTGTCATTTGCGAACAAGCTGCGGCAACTGCTGTGGACTGGGAATGCCCGACTTCGCATCTTGGTCCTTTCATAGGTTGCTTGTCTTTCTTAAAACATGTGGACAAGATTTGATTAAAACCCATAAATATCAAAATTCTCCAATAAATTGGATTGTAATCCAACCAATGCTGATTAAAATCTATTAAAATACATCTTTGAAATACATTAATTGTTGCGGATGTCTTTGTAGTCCAGCCAATGGCATCCCTGCCACCCAACCCTCTGGGACCCTCCGCACCTTTGGCACTTGCCGCAGGGCAAAGTCTCGAGAGGTCTCGATCAGCAGCCGGAAGAAGCAATGCTTGAAGTGTTTCAAGCCTGATACACGGAGAACCCACTGATCAAAAAGTCAATTCCAAAATCGGAAAAAAAGAATGAGCCCTAAAATGAATAATGAATAGATCCAATACTCATCTATGTCCCGGTTGTTCTGGGGTACATCGGTATATCTATACAGTAACTAACCCGTATCTACATAATATTATGGGTAAGGGAATGCATGATTTAAGTCATCCCTGGATGACAGTAACAAGCGGCGGAACCCAACCCAGAAATGGAGGCGTTCCGACCTGGAATCTGATACCGAGTCACATCTGAAATGGACTCAGATCCGAATAGAGTGCCCAAAAAATGGCATGTCTTTAGTGCTGAAAACAAAAATCTGGGGTTCCGGCAGCGAATCAAAAATCCATTATATACCACCCCTCAAACCCCCAAAATTCCACTTTCCAAGATACAAAACCATCATCCAAACCCCATTTAAGTGGGGGGTTCACAAAAAGACTGTGTTTGTTCATGTTTTTTTCCAGGAAAATCTGGAAAAACCCTCCAATTCTGGCACCGACTTGGAAATTCCTGCCTGGGTCGAAGTTTTGCAGCAGCGCCAAGTTCATCATGTTCCACTCCTGGAGTGTTTTGTATCGCAAATTAGAATAATATGAATAATCCACTGACCCGACGCTTGAAGACATTTTGGGAATATAACCCTTGACCAACCACCATCTACCCAGTATCATGGAGTTTCGGAGTTTGGACTGGGTCTGACTGGATGCTCGGACTATGTTTAGATCTATGTTACTCAAGTTCATCATCCATGAAAGTTCTACTTTCTTGAAACAGCGCATATATGATGATGGCCACAGCAGTTCTACTTACTTGAAGATATTACATGGGTCATATTCAAGTCCGATCAGAAATCACTACACTACAATGGATTTAGCACTTTCGGTCTAGTCCATGCTTGAAATGGAAATGTCCCCAATTGAAAGATGCTTTCACATCGTAAATCCGGCATTTTTTCAATGGGGTGTCCCAGGTGTCCCAGGTGTCCCAGGTGTCCCAGTTGTCCCAGTTGTAAAGCGATGATGAACCCTTGGATTTAACATGAATCAGGGTTGTGGTTCAATCATAGGGTGTCAATGGACACAAAATTGGTCATTTGCACTAATTTTGCTGGTATATAACTGTGAGTCCCAGACAAACCAGTGGAATTAACATTGCCATTTGAAGTGAGAGAGTCATCACTGCATTATGCAAAACCATAGCGAACGAAGAAACTGCAGATTTAGCTTTAGCCGTTGGCTCGACATGGAGCACACATGGTTGGATCTCCCTTTGCACCCCTTTAAGACATGGCAAAGCAAAATCACCGAATTCATCATGCCCGGCTCGCTTGACTGCCCGGCCTCTGCGCTCTTGATCAAATGCCCCAGGAACTTGACCAAGTTCATGAAGACCTAGGGTGGGGGAAAAAAAAACACTGACGCTGATTATTAACCAAGCGGCATGATTTTTGTCAGGGTCCGAAACCAGCCATTTTATGGGGATATAGCCTAGCTGAATTAGAACAATTCACTAACCTGAAAATAGCTGAAATAAGACCATTTGGGGATGATTCCCCGCACTAACCATCATTCCAGTCACGTCACCGTGAGGTGCATGTGATGTCATTTTTAATTCATCCAGATATAATGGGATATCATATAGTACTTAGATAAAATAGGGATATGATAGGGATACAATAGGGAGAAAACGAAACTATAATATGGATATACAGGAATGGGGATAGGTATATATTGAGTCTTTCAACTGGGAAGCCTCGGCTCAAAGGCTGGAGGCTCCAGGTCCCTATCTCCTGTTGGGATGCACTGTATCTTAAAATATCGCCAGAACAGCTACTAGAAATGTGGTAAACGATAGGTTAATACATTTAATACTACTATTATTGGGTTTAACCAACAAAAATTGATTACTATGGCTTAACCAACACCCAATAATCCAGCCCAAAAATAAACCTCTAATTGGGGATGGTTGTTACGCAGGCATTGCTGTGGGGAACTCGCCCTCCGTATTGGAGTTGCTCGGGGCCCCAAAAATGTAAAGAGAAAAGAAAACATCTAAAACATAATACAAAAAAAAGGCTAAGAATGCGTTTTATTTATGTATATATATATATACATATAAACATATAAACCGATACACTCCCCAATTTGGCTCCCCATCTGCCCCAAAGAATTCCCTCGGCCCTTTATTTAGGGCCCCACCAGGAAGGACGGTGGCGAGGTTTCAGAGCTACAGACCTCGCATCTTCGATCTGAATGAAACTTGAGGTGCCTGAAAGAATTGTGAGGGATAGTCATGTTCCATTTTTTTGTCCGTGTAAAAATAGGGAAACACATGAGTTTGGGGCTGCTCAGTCCTGGACCTTCCTCTTCCCAACTCCCAAAATAACTGAGGTTACAACCATTGTTTGAACTGGGGTTTTACAAGTCACAAGACCTGTGTATTGATTCTCACTGAAACGGCCATCGGGGATAAACCAGATCAATATAGGGATTGTTACATATATATATATATATATATGTATATTATATAATTTTCACCGTTATTATAGAAGATATTCGGGAATTATCGGAGAACCGATCTTCTATTTAAAATTGGTTTGGACGCGCAGAAAAATCAATTTAAATAAAGATAAATTAATTCAAAGACCAAAAATTGTAGAATATCCGGCATGTTCGAGGGTTCAAACTAATATCTTCTATTTAGACCAACACCAAAAGCACAAACTTGGTGGATCATCCAACCACAATCTTCTATTTAAAAATGGTTTGTCGCACAATCTTGTTTTGAGAATTTGGGGCCGGTATAGTCAATATCTTCTACTTGAAATGGTCGTTTCCGCTCAAGACATTTCAAATAGAACATATTCGAATATATTATGTGCAAAACTCAACAAAACCTCGGTGTTTTGAAGCCTTCCCAAAGGCATTTTAAATAGAAGATATTCAAATACATTATTCCTGCCCACCCCCTGCCAGTGCAGAAAACACACACTTTACCGCGGTCATGTCCCTAGATGGCCAATCCCCACATCCGACCTCTTCGAGCAATTCGTAGGTGCGCGGGAGATCGATTGGTTTTGCTTTAGCACCCGTCCACGTGACGTCGAAGTGCCTAGCGCTTACCGGGAGCGGAGGGGCCGCTTGAAATACTGGCGCTAGAAACACGGCAGGGCTCAGGACAAAATGGGTATAGGTTGTATGTAGAAAACTCAATAGAAATACAAATGATAATATATAGTTGGATGTCACATTATTAATTATGTGTACATACGGCGTATGTGACTATAATATATATATATATGTGTTATATATAAGATGTTATATATACAACATACAAATGTTATACATAACATTTATGTTTTACATATATATATATAATATAATGTAATATAATATAATGAAATATAATATAATATAATATAATATAATATAATATATATAACATACATATATATATATTATATATATACACATATGTGTATATATAATATACATTTATGTGGTATGTTATATGTAATTATATATATATGTGTGTGTAACATATATATATAATATAGTCTGCATAAAAATGAAGAGACCCAAGGAACAAACACCAAAAATTGTGTCCTTCTTAGAATTCAGCATGTCCCAGTTGGATATATTATATATATATATATTATATATATATTATATATATATAATATATATATATATATTCATTCCTGGAGGCAGAATCCATTTTGCGTTGCTTGTGTAGTCATATCAGCTGTGTCAGCTATGTCCTCCATGGTTTCAGGAAGGTTATACTTCCGGTTATTGTTTGTATTATCCCCATCTTTGCGCAACTGTTCCATTGGTTGCAGTCCCCATTTCAACGCGTCCCTGCAACATATGTTCGGCAATCATCTTCAATACTCAGGGTCTCAGAAGGGACCGAACATCGATAATATCATGGATTGGTTCGGCTTTCAAACCAAAGTCTTTGATGTCTAATGAATTCAAGAAATGGATGAAACCAGTTTGAAAGTCAAAACAAACTATTCTGAACAAAAAAAAACAAGGACAATGATAACTGTTCTTATCCTTTCTTTATATATCATCCACCAAATCAACATAGACCCTGCCAACTAGGGGCTGGAAGAGTATAGTCAGCATTCCTCAAAAAAAGTCGAAAAAAGGGTCACAGGGTCTTTTTCTGCGCGCGTTCCCTGCCTGGACTTGGGGTTGAAGGCTTCTTTCCTCATGGCCTCCAGAGTCTTTCCCACCAATTCCAGCAGCTCGTTCTTTTGAAAGGAGATCAATGGGGCGCCATCCACCTGGTGAACGGGAACCAAAGATTCTGAGAGCTGTTGGGTGGAACCCTGGGTGGGGCTAACCCGGCTAGATACCCAGCAAATCCCAACAGAATGTAGGAAACGATAGTGGAATATGATTCATATGATGTCAAAATATATTGAAGTATTCCTCCATCAAAAGAACAAGCTCAAATCATGCAACGGTTCACCAAGACCAAGTGTTCGGCATAGCCTCCTTGATGACAGGCATCTCTCCATCCAAACAGTCTGGAGTCATGCTCCTGAAAGACGCGCGAAGAGTGGGGGCTTTATTGTTTTTTGGGGGCTTTATTAGGGCTACACGGGTTGGGAGATCCAAAATGATTATGAGTTGCTGGATTATCGGATTGCGGGGCTCATATCACCAGTTGAACCACATGAAGCGAACTAACCTCGACCCCTATGGGCTGCAACCAAGATGCAAGTAGACCCGAGGCAATATCAGGCAAAAGGACAGTTGCTTCGCAGTGCTCTCACCTTGCGTGCCCCATTGCATACTCCCGGGAGACCCTGATAGGTTTTTGTGAACCCTCTTTGGGAGCCCGAAAATAAACAGATCCAGTGATCCAGTGCAAAAAGCTGTGTTGCTATGGAAAGGATCTCCATTGAAATTTCCTCAGCTTCGCTCCCTTTGAACCCTCACGGACCCCAAGAATCGCAAGAAGGGCATTTCAAACTTTGAACAGCACAATTTTCAAACATGTCAAGTTCAACAAGATAGGAAAATATGTCCATTTTCGCTAGCCATCCTGGCCATCGGCCTGGAGTGTTGGGAATCTCGATGAAGAAGAAGTCCTGCCCAGCTCCAGATTTCGGCAGGCCGGGATGGAGATCTGCAAGGTCAGGATTCCAAATGGGACCCCCTAAACAAATCTAAACAAGACCAATCATCAGGAACTCTGGGGTGTTTCAATGGATTCCTTGGGCCTTGATTTCCAGTGGGTGGCAATTTGAAACCCAAACAGAGATCTGTATCAAAAGATATCCTCAGGCAGACTTTGCAAGGAGTTAGTGGAAGTCCTTCTAAAAGTGCCTCCGGGACATGACCCCCGTCCACAATAGCAGGTGTTGAAGAAGAAACTCTTCGCAAAGCATCTGAATTGGACTCTAACCACACTGTTTTGACAAACCAACGCGATCGTGAAGACCTCACAGTCAACTTCCTCCACAAAAAGTGCTAAATATTGGATAAAAAATGACAATAACATTTAGCCATGGACTATCATTGACTCGTCAAACCAAGGGCCAAGGCTTTTGAACCCGTCCAAGTCCCTGGAAATATCTGGAAATCATCAAGAAACCATCGCTGGTGAAGGCCACTGCATATTCATTTCGAGATCTTGCAGCAATTTTGGGTCAAAAAAATTCTTTATCTTTCAGAGACAGGTTCCTAGACAGGGCGCTCTGAAAACCGCTCTGAAAGCAATCCCACGAGATTTAGGGTCTCCAGCAAATCCTTTCCCAACAGCAGCCGAGTCCTTCTTGGCCCTTCTGTGGTACACGCGGCAGAGATGCGTATCCCGGAGCATTCCCACAATCCTTGGCCCAGTCGAACTACCGTGAGCTGTCGTGTTGGAACCCCTTGAGACCGATATATCATTCATGTTGAAAACATAAGGCCAGAGGTAGAGGAGCTGAAATAGAGAACCCCACAACCCCCAAGATGTTGCAGAAATTGCCTATCTTGCCGAAGCAAAGCCTTGAAATCTCTCCATTTTATTTGGAACACACCCTCCCTCCATCCTCCTCTCACCTTTCGCAAAAAAAATGGTGTCCATAACTGTAATCGTTCCAAGGTTGGTTCAAGATTCAAGAGCTCAAAGAGGAGGGTATCCACATGGGACGGCAAGATGTGCGCCAAGTCAATATGCACCGCTGTCGGGGTCTGTGGGTCCGTGGGGTCGCTCAACAGGTTTTGCCTCAGAGCAAATCATCTCTGACCCTCGTCTTGATCGGAAAGATGGAATGATTGAAATATGTCAAAGCATAAAATGTGTTGTTCTTTCTACCCTCCAGTAAAGATATATATGTATATATGTGTGTATATATATATATTATATTATAATATATTATTACTATATGTTATTTATCTGTGTATGTATATATATATATATATGTGGAAAATACACCATGAATCTAGATCATTTCCGAACGGAAACCCATCAATTTCCACATCTTTTTGCATGACAGGAGGATGTTGAATTTCAACCATCCAGGCTGAGGCAAAAACACCAACGCGGAGATGTCTGTGGTTTCCCTGTCGTGCGCAGATCGGATGCGGATTGCGATGCTCCAACCGAAGTGATTGTATATTTGTAGGTGCATCCCAGTTTCTCAGTTTGCAACAACCTATGTACGCACATAGATTCTGATATATTCAAATACATGTGGAAGGTCGCCATGGTTTTCGAGTATAAACATTTTAATCATTAAAAGTGTCCGTTACCGGGTTGGATTATCAGAGAGCAGAACGCATATCGTTGGGGATGTCCAGTACATAAAACTGGGGATGATCGACCAAGAAGGGGATGCTATCTGGAGTATATCCCAACGTTTCCCAGTGATGTTTAGGTTTTAGCGCCATTCCGAACCAGTTAAGAAACTTCCGCAAAATCATGGAAATTCCATAGTAAATCATTGATTTACCTCTTGACCCCTGATTTTGGAACTGCTTGACCCATGAGTGATGAGGTTAACATAGGCTACTGTAGCGACTTTGCAACCCCTGTCCCAGCGGAAATTCATGACAGCGCCTGATCTCCACATGGTGGAGCAAGGCTTTTCCTCCGTGCTCTTCCTGGTCGGCGTCTTGGGAATGTTTCTCCGCAAAAAAAAAATGTGAGGGATCTACATATATTTCCGGTAGACACGTATATCATTACTGTAATGTCTACTGTGTATATATGTATATTTATGTTGTATGTAATCTAATGTAATGCAATGTAACGCAACCTAACGTAACGTAACGTAACCTAAGAACCGTAACGCAACTTAGCGAAACGTACTCTAATGTAATGTAATTATGCGTGTTACACATTGCTATATTATATATTACAGTAATATATATTATACATGTGATCACATATAGAAGCATTTTTGGACGAACCAACATGTACACAACAAAAACCGTCCAGGATCCACTTTCGACCTGGAGCTTGGCGATTTGCCGATGGATGTAGTGCGTCTTGCCCACGCCGTTCATTTGCGCGGCGACGGCCTGCAAAGGAAAGGCCAGGTAACTATCCTTTTGGGAAAATGATGGTAAGTCATCGGATTGATGGCTTTTGAGACAAAGCCACTAATGAACTTGGGGTCTCTTTGACACATCCCCACATGTCGAAATGTGTTGATACTCTTCGCAAACGGCATTGTCGAACCTTCACATCAAATTTCCCGACTTTACACCGTTGGAATTCAAAGCAGGATGCAAAAAAAAGAGAAGGGTTCAAAGGTGATGTTCCGCACTTGGAGATACGGATAGATACAGCCTTTTTTGGGGGGATACCAGCGTAAATTGCCAATTGTTTGGGAGGTGAAAGTCGCGAGTGCCTCCAACTGTCTTCCGTGATACTTCTCGCCTGGCCCAAGACCGCACAGCCTTGATCAATCTGTTGCTCGTGTATCAGTGTATCACCCATGTGGATATGGCTCAAAAATACTCAAATGTGCCATTCACCAAAGGGCTGAAACGACCAAATATATATATATATATACCAAATGTGCAGCTCCATGGGTATCCCCGTATCCCTTTTTGCATCATATGATCAACAGGAATTGCTCAAGTGCCTAATGACCGACAAAAAATGGGTGGGGGTACAGTTGGGAAAGGTTTCCTGACAAGAAACCCCATCTTTAAACTCTTTGTTGGCTGGATAACATCCCCGGCCCCATAAAAATCACGGTGAATACCCGACTCTCAATGGACTGGTGGGAGAATTTTCACAGCGACTCTCCTGCCGCGCCATCGCCTACCATGGCCACCGCATTCTTCAACAGGTCCTGCTGCAAGATGCTGACAGCCAGATTGTGCCTGGCGCTTAGACATGGCAAACGAGGGGGAACGTCAAATGCGAGGATGTTTCGGAGCAGACCCCTTAGATTTTCTAGATGGAGGACGGAACTGACTGTTTACCAGCACATGTTGGGAACAGCAGGGTACCAGGCTTTGGAGAGCCTTGTATATGATCAAAAGGGAAAAAATGCTGATAAATATCAATCAATAAAAATGGAATATATTAACTTTAACAAACCCAAATTGTGCAGGAGAGAGCTAATCTTTACCATACCAAGAACAGGGCCAAATCCAAAGCAGTCAAAACCCAGGGGCGGAGTCAGACACCCGAGTCCACCATCTCTTAGGTGTCCTTTTGGAAACTGGTGATGGCTCGAAACCTTTTTTTGCTGAGGACAATTCTGGTCTCCAAAAAATGCAATTCCACAATGCGATACCCAAAAATTGTCGACTGGCTCAGCCATCCAAGGCAACGATCCCTGCCTGTTGAGGGCGTTGGTGAGCATTTGGTTGGGCATGCCGCTGGCGAAAACCAGAGCTGAAGCGTGGTCGAAACCAAACTGTTCTTCCATCTTCCTGGTACCATGGCTGTGGCTTGGGTGAGCAGCCCTGGGTCAGCTGTTCACCTAGCCACTTCCGGGAGATAATGAGTTTGGACACGAACCCAGCTGGAGCTGCTCCAAGATTGGAAGCCCGCAAGATTTTATGTTGAGCTACTGCCCATTGGCTACATATCATGGATGCAAATGGACGTTGTTCCCCCGATTTGGACTTCAGGAAATAACGCTTGTTGTAATCCCCCAATGTCGAACCCCAACTGATGGGATAAGAATTCGGAATCTATGATATTGTCGTTGACTCATGTGAGTCAGTTCACTGTGGGTTAAGAAATAAGAACCTGTGATATAACATCATCATCATCATCATCATCATCATCATCATCATCATCATCATCATCATCATCAATCGCCGCCGCCGCCGTCGTGACATCGACATCGACATCAACATCGTCGTCGTCATCATAGCCATCGTTTGCAATTTGGTTCAGCTGATTTGACACGGTGATTTGACAATTGCCCAAACAATTGTGCCGCTCCAATCTGTCTCTTCTTGGACCGAGGTCACAATAGATTGGAACTTGGTTTGATCAATTCATCACTCGCAATTGGGCAATTTAGGAAATGTTAAAATCTCCAAGTTTAAGAAATATTCACCCTTTTGAGGTGACTGATCAGGGTTTCTTCACTCCTGCATCCTTTGCTCTGCAAAAAGTTTGTGCCCCCACCGGCTGTCCTCAAGGCCTCCACTGTTCCACACTGGGTCACATACGGCAGCCTGGGAGCGACGAGCCAGAAGCAAAGGCTCTCTTGAAGAATTGAGATATGAGTATGAGTCCGCAAAACCTTTGTCAAACATCAAATAAGCCAATCGGAGGGCCGGTATGATCTAGTGGATAAGACGCATCCCTCATGCGTCAGACCCGAGTTCAAAACCCGGGTGCAACACTAGGCGGATAGGCGGACCACTACCCCACCCCTGCAGTTAAGGGGATTAGCTGGGGTGTGGTTCGTAAAAACACTCACTCTCAAATAAGCCAATCGAATGGTCTATGTTGGGATGTGAAGAATAACAACCTAATGTTGCGGTTACAGTAGCTGGTATTGGCCCATAGCCACATAGCCACTGTCTTCAAAGTCATTCATGGTGAAATGTCTTGTCATCAGAGGCTGAGACAGACCTATTTTATATATATATATAGGATCGTTGAGAAATCGAAAATGACCTGGATCATTTACTCCTACAACTGGTTGTGATTGGAACGACCAGGATTGATAAGTAAATGCAAACTGACTATAAATTGCAACTCGAAATATCAACTATTCGTCGTTTACGTTTACTTGACCAATGTGATGGTTTTGCTAGGGAAAAGATGGGAAAAGTATAGTGTGAAAGCATCATGGTTTTGCCGAGATTGCCGAAGTTGGAATCCTCAATGTGGCATGGTTTCGACATGCAAAATGTCCGTAACAGGAATTCTGCCCAGTGACAGGTGAACATTGCCAACGCAGTAGAGCCTCAAGCGGCCATGGCGGGGATTGGTCAAGGGGATTGGTGGTAACCAATACGCCTGTTGAGAGAATGGTTGGTGAATTCGGATTCATCTAATCTATCACCCCAAAGAACAACCAATGGGAACTAACGAGTGAAAGCCCATGGTTGGTGGTTCACGTGCCATAATCTGACTATGTGCAGAATCATCCCACCTAGTATTTCATCAATAAAACTGATTACAACCCACTTATCGCTGGTCTGACAGGTTTACATGATTTATAAACATTTTATGAATATTTATAACAAGGATTTCAAACCACTTACGAACAACTTACTAAGGGTATGTCGGGTATGTGCATCCAAACATGGTATGTCCCGGGTTGATGAAAACCAAGAGCGTTCCCTGCTCTGGGCATCCGCGCCGATCCTCTCGCTGATGCTTCCTGGCAGAGGCCGTGTCCAAATGCGTTGCTTTCCTAAATTTGATGGTCCTGGTCCAACAAGACCAATGTGTGTATGTGTATATGTCTGTTTATGTCGTGAGGATCCGTTTAGATATTTCATATATATGTATATGTGTATATATATATATATATACATGTAGTGTAGTGTAATGTAATGTCATGTAATGTCATGTCATGTAAGTGTAATGTAAGTATATACATATAATTATATATATATATAAAATTATATATATAATTATATACATATAATTATATATATATATATAATTATGTATATATAATTATATATATAATGACATGTCATGTAAGTGTAATGTAAGTATATACATATAATTATATATATATAATTATATATATAATTATATATAATTATATATAATTATATATATAATTATATATATAATTATATATATAATTATATATATAATTATATATATAATTATGTGTATATATATATAATTATATGTAATTATATATAATGTAAGTATAATGTAAGTATAATGTAAGTAAATGTAAGTATAATGTAAGTATAATGTAAGTATAATGTGTGTATAATGTCTGTACAATGATATTGTATACATATTGTATACATATGGTATACATCTTGTATACTTATTGTATGCATATTGTATATATATATATATTATTGTATACATATTGTATAGGTATGCGTATATGTTGTATGTGTACATGCATGTGTTTGTGTTTGCGTTTGTGTGTCTACGTATGTGCGTGTATGCATGTATATATGTATGTACATGTATATACGTCAATATACCTGGGTACAAATATACACATATATGTATATATATCAAGCCAGTGCTCACATCATCAGTAAAAAAAATGATGCCATGTTCTCCAAACCATCATTCGGCGGATATATATATATATATATGGTACCCCCCCAAGACCTACCTTTCAAGCAAATTAAGTGGTATTTACAGTGTTTTTCTTAACATTTTGAACTCTAAAACTTAGGGCATTTTTAAGTGATCAAAAATTGCAATTTTTTGCAAGTTTGTTCCCATCCCACCCTTCCCTAAGTACATCGGATTCAAGGTTCAAGATTCAAGATCCCAAGAAAACTTCTTGAATCCAAAGGCCTTCAGCCTTGAATCTTGAATCCAAAGAGGTTGCATTGAAGAAGTTTTTTCTGAGCCTTGAATCTTGAATCTTGAATCCAAAGAGGTTGGATTGAAGAAGTTTTTTCTGAGCCTTGAATCTTGAATCTTGAATCCAAAGAGGTTGGATTGAAGAAGTTTTTTCTGAGCCTTGAATCTTGAATCTTGAATCCAAAGAGGTTGGATTGAAGAAGTTTTTTCTGAGCCTTGAATCTTGAATCTTGAATCCAAAGACCTTGAATCTTGAATCTTGAATCCAAAGAGGTTGGATTGAAGAAGTTTTTTCTGAGCCTTGAATCTTGAATTTTGAATCCAAAGAGGTTGGATTGACGAAGTTTTTTCTGAGCCTTGAATCTTGAATCTTGAATCCAAAGAGGTTGGATTGAAGAAGTTTTTTGTGAGCCTTGAATCTTGAATCTTGAATCCAAAGAGGTTGGATTGAAGAAGTTTTTTCTGAGCCTTGAATCTTGAATCTTGAATCCAAAGAGGTTGGATTGAAGAAGTTTTTTCTGAGCCTTGAATCTTGAATCTTGAATCCAAAGAGGTTGGATTGAAGAAGTTTTTTCTGAGCCTTGAATCTTGAATCCAAAGAGGTTGGATTGAAGAAGTTTTCTGAGCCTTGAATCTTGAATCTGAATGAAGAAGTTGAATCTTGAATCTTGAATCCAAAGAGGTTGGATTGAAGAAGTTTTTCTGAGCCTTGAATCTTGAATCTTGAATCCAAAGAGGTTGGATTGAAGAAGTTTTTCTGAGCCTTGAATCTTGAAATCAAAGAGGTTGGATTGAAGAAGTTTTTCTGAGCCTTGAATCTTGAATCTTGAATCCAAAGAGGTTGGATTGAAGAAGTTTTTCTGAGCCTTGAATCTTGAATCTTGAATCCAAAGAGGTTGGATTGAAGAAGTTTTTTGAGCCTTGAATCTTGAATCTTGAATCCAAAGAGGTTGGATTGAAGAAGTTTTTCTGAGCCTTGAATCTTGAATCTTGAATCCAAAGAGGTTGGATTGAAGAAGTTTTTCTGAGCCTTGAATCTTGAATCTTGAATCCAAAGAGGTTGGATTGAAGAGTTTTTCTGAGCCTTGAATCTTGAATCTTGAATCCAAAGAGGTTGGATTGAAGAAGTTTTTCTGAGCCTTGAATCTTGAATCTTGAATCCAAAGAGGTTGGATTGAAGAAGTTTTTCTGAGCCTTGAATCTTGAATCTTGAATCCAAAGAGGTTGGATTGAAGAAGTTTTTTCTGAGCCTTGAATCTTGAATCTTGAATCCAAAGAGGTTGGATTGAAGAAGTTTTTCTGAGCCTTGAATCTTGAATCTTGAATCCAAAGAGGTTGGATTGAAGAAGTTTTTCTGAGCCTTGAATCTTGAATCTTGAATCCAAAGAGGTTGGATTGAAGAAGTTTTTCTGAGCCTTGAATCTTGAATCTTGAATCCAAAGAGGTTGGATTGAAGAAGTTTTTCTGAGCCTTGAATCTTGAATCTTGAATCCAAAGAGGTTGGATTGAAGAAGTTTTTCTGAGCCTTGAATCTTGAATCTTGAATCCAAAGAGGTTGGATTGAAGACGTTTTTCTGAGCCTTGAATCTTGAATCTTGAATCCAAAGAGGTTGGATTGAAGAAAGCCTTGAATCTTGAATCTTGAATTGGATTGAAGAAGTTTTTCTTGAATCTTGAATCTTGAATCCAAAGAGGTTGGATTGAAGAAGTTTTTCTGGAATCTTGAATCTTGAATCCAAAGAGGTTGGATTGAAGAAGTTTTTCTGAGCCTTGAATCTTGAATCTTGAATCCAAAGAGGTTGGATTGAAGAAGTTTTTCTGAGCCTTGAATCTTGAATCTTGAATCCAAAGAGGTTGGATTGAAGAAGTTTTTCTGAGCCTTGAATCTTGAATCTTGAATCCAAAGAGGTTGGATTGAAGAAGTTTTTCTGAGCCTTGAATCTTGAATCTTGAATCCAAAGAGGTTGGATTGAAGAAGTTTTTCTGAGCCTTGAATCTTGAATCTTGAATCCAAAGAGGTTGGATTGAAGAAGTTTTTCTGAGCCTTGAATCTTGAATCTTGAATCCAAAGAGGTTGGATTGAAGAAGTTTTTCTGAGCCTTGAATCTTGAATCTTGAATCCAAAGAGGTTGGATTGAAGAAGTTTTTCTGAGCCTTGAATCTTGAATCTTGAATCCAAAGAGGTTGGATTGAAGAAGTTTTTCTGAGCCTTGAATCTTGAATCTTGAATCCAAAGAGGTTGGATTGAAGAAGTTTTTCTGAGCCTTGAATCTTGAATCTTGAATCCAAAGAGGTTGGATTGAAGAAGTTTTTCTGAGCCTTGAATCTTGAATCTTGAATCCAAAGAGGTTGGATTGAAGAAGTTTTTCTGAGCCTTGAATCTTGAATCTTGAATCCAAAGAGGTTGGATTGAAGAAGTTTTTCTGAGCCTTGAATCTTGAATCTTGAATCCAAAGAGGTTGGATTGAAGAAGTTTTTCTGAGCCTTGAATCTTGAATCTTGAATCCAAAGAGGTTGGATTGAAGAAAGCCTTGTGAATTTTCTGAGCCTTGAATCTTGAATCTTGAATCCAAAGAGGTTGGATTGAAGAAGTTTTTCTGAGCCTTGAATCTTGAATCTTGAATCCAAAGAGGTTGGATTGAAGAAGTTTTTCTGAGCCTTGAATCTTGAATCCAAAGAGGTTGGATGGAAGAAGTTTTTCTGAGCCTTGAATCTTGAATCCAAAGAGGTTGGATTGAAGAAGTTTTTCTGAGCCTTGAATCTTTGAATCTTGAATCCAAAGAGGTTGGATTGAAGAAGTTTTTCTGAGCCTTGAATTTTGAATCTTGAATCCAAAGAGGTTGGATTGAAGAAGTTTTTCTGAGCCTTGAATCTTGAATCTTGAATCCAAAGAGGTTGGGTTGAAGAAGGTTTTCTGAGCCTTGAATCTTGATTCCAAAGAGGTTGGATTGAAGAAGTTTTTCTGAGCCTTGAATCTTGAATCTTGAATCCAAAGAGGTTGGATTGAAGACGTTTTTTCTGAGCCTTGAATCTTGAATCCAAAGAGGTTGGATTGAAGAAGTTTTTCTGAGCCTTGAATCTTGAATCTTGAATCCAAAGAGGTTGGATTGAAGAAGTTTTTCTGAGCCTTGCATCTTGAATCTTGAATCCAAAGAGGTTGGATTGAAGAAGTTTTTCTGAGCCTTGAATCTTGAATCTTGAATCCAAAGAGGTTGGATTGAAGAAGTTTTTTCTGAGCCTTGAATCTTGAACCTTGAATCCAAAGAGGTTGGATTGAAGAAGCTTTTTCTGAGCCTTGAATCTTGAATCTTGAATCCAAAGAGGTTGGATTGAAGAAGTTTTTTCTGAACCTTGAATCTTGAATCTTGAATCCAAAGAGGTTGGATTGAAGAAGTTTTTCTGAGCCTTGAATCTTGAATCTTAAATCCAAAGAGGTTGGATTGAAGAAGTTTTTTCCGAGCCTTGAATCTTGAAGCTTGAATCCAAAGAGGTTGGATTGAAGAAGCTTTTTCTGAGCCTTGAATCTTGAATCTTGAACCCAGATATTTAATTTCTTGCAAATGATCGGGCTGTCTGCTAAGGACATTCCTCAAATAAACTTGCATATCCTGTAAAAGAAAATTCTAAAGCCAATTATGTATTTTTTCCTTGCTTTCCAAGCAAATCAATCAAGTTTGGCAAAAATAGCGAAAAAACATTTTAAAAAAATGCAACACAGGGAATTAGATTCATCATAATAAAAGTAAAATAAATTGAAAAAGAACCGTCTGCAATCTTAAACAGTGACTTCTTTGACAAACAAGAAGAACAAATTAAACAATAATAAGTAAAAATACATGAACTCATCCGATAGCAATACCTCTTTATCTACAGATCAATCACAACCTTCCCAACAAAATGTACAGTATTAGAAAGTGCTGCAAATAGATCGGCAAAGAAAACGTTCTTTAAAAAACATGGTTGCAATTTATGTTTAGAAACAAAAGGTAATAGACTATAAAAACCCTGAAATGCGATCGAAGTTCACATCACAAAACGGTAGAATCTTATCATTAAAAAAATACAAACATATCAATCTGAAAAACATGTTCAAGATTTAAAAAGAATAATGTGATTAACTTAAAACTAGATCCTCAGAATCTGGAGCTAAAAGAACCTATAAAATTTAGGATCTTTCGAAGTAAAAATACATATTCATCCAATGCTAGAAACTCCTATAATACCTATAAAAATATCACAAAATTTAGAACTATTAAAAAAAAAGTAAGACAATTTAAAATATGGCAAGTATATTAAAAACTGATCTAGACTTATTTTGTGTTTACATGTTTTTACTTATTAGTTCATTATCATCAAAATCATTTATGTTCAATAAATAATATCTAACTCTCCTGGATTTGAAGCAATGAAATTACAAGACCATCTACATTATACAGATTTTCAAAATGAATTATCACAGCAAAAAATATCAACTCGTCTACAAAAAAATGTAGATGCTGAAGAAAAAGTTAATGGAAATAACGTACGTAGATTCACAAGAACAAATAAGACAATTAACATCAAATGAGAATATGATTGATTATTGTCAAATTACTATGCAAAGCTTGATGGAATGTTATGGAATTGTAGGAGGATTAAAAAGGTAATTGCATTATACAATTAATATGTCTAAAAATTATAACTGGAGATCAGTCTTATACATATCTAGTGTACTTTTTACACCTTTATTATCTGGAAAATCTTACGCAAATAAAAATGTAGAATCTCAAGATGCACTAAGTGTATCATCTTATCTTGCACAAAACTCAGCTTTGGTAGAAGCTAAAAGGTTTCAAATTGCTACAGAAAATTTGGTAAACATGAATTCCACCAGTAGTCATTATAAAAGACTACCTTATAAAAAGTTGTATTCATCAAAAAAATGCTATACTCTGTTGTAAAAACAGATTTAAAAAAAAAAAACAATCCATCTATTCCCCTAATCATATTGTTGCAAATCCTAAAGGTTATGTAAAAATACCAAATGTTGTATATAGAAGATATTGAAAAAGCAGACTTGCAAGAATCAGATCATAAATATTATATCCGTGTTGATATATTAAAAATGTCTGAAAACACAAAAAAGAAGACATTAAATATAATGAAATATATATATATATATATGTGAAATATAGATGTTACAGCGCTAAGCTGCAGCTACCATGTGGGCAGGATGTGTGCAGGCGCATGCGCCCAAGATACTTTCCTGATGCAGTGCTACAATAGGTGATAAGATAAGAAGGAAGACAAGGCATTCAGGAACATATCTGCTACACAAAAGGTAGGTCTTGGAGGGGGGGGTGCTTTTATCTATATATATATAATATATATAGAGAGAGGCTTGGCGTTTGGAAACTCCAATCTGCAGGCTGAGGATTCTAAAACCAAAACACGAGCATGCTGGAGAGCTGGGCATGCACGCCAAAAAATAGTGGCCAAAACAAATTGCAAAATGAGGATATACACAACAAATGTAGATGTGGAAAATTGTTGGGCATCCATCCCCCTGCTGCTGGATACCCAGTGGCTTCTATAGCAAGGTTGACAGCTCCCATGACATGGACAGGCGCCTCGCGTGGAAGAAGCGCCGCAGTAGCAATTCAATCTCCTGGTTCCGGCGTCATTTCTCTGGTACAGTTGGATTTGGGGGTTTCCATAAATAGAGGTACCCCAATAGCTGGATGGTCTATTTCATGAAAAATCCCAAAATCAAATGGATGATTTGGGGGTACCCCCAAATCAAAGGAAACTCCCATATGCGTTTCCCTCACATTTATGGCTAAAATTCATCGAAGCAACCAGAGGGTGAAACCATAGGAAATGGATGGAAATGGGATGCTAGCTGTAACCCACAGTTGAGTGAGGATCTTTGACCTTTGTCTGTATCGTCTCTATCTCCATCACTCCAGCTCCGTCAGCTCCGTGGTCCAGAATCACAGCCCAACTCACTCTCCATCGAAAAATATAGCCGCATTCAAGCGACTTCTATCCCCAATCCCATCCTCAACCCACGCCTGTCTAGTGTGGGATATGATGCCTGGTTTTGTATCATTGATCTTCCTCAAAACGGTGAATGAAACTCAACCCTTCACGGGCAACAAATATCCCAAGTGCAATGATCATCAACATCCCCACAAGAACCAGTAGAAACCCTCCACCCTACACCTTTCAGATCTTCTGTGCTACCCACCTATCTCATATTTTGTTATACATATATATATATATGTATATGTATATAGAGAGAGAGAGAGCTAGATAAGATTAAAAAAGATAAGATAAGATAAGATAAGATAGATAGATTCACTACATGTCTGTATATATATATATAACATATATATATATATGTATATATATACTTTACGATATTCATATTCACATTCATCTTCATGTCGATATGGCCTGGCCTATCTTCCCAGTCACCAAACACCCCACCGTAGCCCCGACCTCCAAGGTGGTGTGGCTGGAGCAGAGCAGCAACTCCTCGGCTTCCGGCACCCGCTCGCGGCGCGTGTAGATCGACAGCACCAGCTCCGTCACCTGGATCCAGGACGAGGACGACCCGGGGAGCCCTGGGAATCTGGGAGGAAAACAAAAACACGATTTTGGAATGAAAAGATTGAAACGTCTGAGTTGATCTTTCAAAGATATAGACTCTTCGGGGTACGTATAGATAGATGATGATAGATGTAGGTAGGTATAGGTGGGTGAACGGATGGGTGGTTGACGGAGGATTAGATAGATGGATAGATAGGGTATTTGATGGGTTCTGATCCTGGCAGTGGAACATAAGCGTGTTTACAGCGAAAGCTCGTATTACTGAGGATTTTGGGGGGTAGATTTGTAGAGGAAATCTATCTGCTAGATCTCTTTTACCCGGATATGTGTTTAGAGAGAGAGAGAGAGAAAAAAAAAAACGCAAATGGAGGTCACTGAGGAAACTAATCCATTCAACCGGGGATCTCTAGTGACGTCAAAAAGATGGCTGATTCCAGGCAATCATATTGGAATGGAACCAACTTAAACCTTGGCTTCATTTTTGGTTCGCCTTGGGCCGAAAAGCGGAACCACTTTGGGACAGTCTCACTTTTTCAGAGGAACGTCTTCTACAAATCATCATTAATAAGCATTAAATGTTGCGTTGTCAAGTTAGATTGCTGGAGAGTATGAACCAAAAATTCAGAGATATCTGACCTAAGGCAACCGCAACAGTAACAGTAACATCAACAAAGCCGCAACACGGTCGAAAAAACGTTGATAAATGACACGTTCTTGGCCATGGGGTTCGCAAATCCGACTTTTATGTCAGTAGAACTGCCTCTGCAATCATTGAAGAATGTGGTTTGTTCCATTGGTTCAAATCAAAATCCCAGAATGGTTTGTTTTTTTGTCTCAATGTCTCATATGTTTTAGTTTGACTGATGAAAATCGGGCATTCCCACATCTCATGCTTAATATTGGTTGTAGTCATCTTACGTGCTCCACTTTAGTGTGGCCACATCCAGGGCAAGCCCCCATTGCTAACCCCATCTGCCCTCCAGCTCCACACCTTGCAGGCTTCATCGGCACAGCAGACAAAGATGGGTGTGCCTTGCTCCTGCCAGGGGCGACGTCGGTGCCGTCTCTGCGGTCAGCCCCAAGCTTGGACGATGTCTCAAATGTCCCAACTCCAAATTTTGGGGAGGTGGTTCGAAGAAGAATCAACAAAACCTAGCAACAAGCTCCATGATCAGACACTTGATGTAGCATCATACATATATATATATATAGAGAGAGAGAGAGAGATAGATAAGATAAGATAAGATAAGAAAAGATAAGATAAGATAAGACAAGACAAGACAAGACAGGATAGATAAATAGATAGATAGATAGATAGATAGGTAGATAGATAGATAGACAGACAGACAGATAGATAGATAGATAGATCATATCAAACATATCAATCATCATCCACACACCCACCACAGCCAACCACCGGGAAAAATATTAGATCCAGAAGAAAAATCCGAAGTCGAGTCGCGCTCATCGAACAAGTAACAGTATCATGGTATAGAAAGAAAATGTTAGACAGGTAGACCATAAATGGAATTTAGGGAGTTGTACTCAAAAAAAAAAAAAACTCAGCATGGTGATATGATGGCC